TGGGCAGCACACGAAGGCCTCCGGGTGGCAAGACAGTCACCAAAAACAGTCCATAATTTCAGGACAGCAATTTGCTCCTTGGATAGCAGCCCCTTGGCCACGTTGGAGAAGTATTTTGGGCAGCAGAAAGGTATTGGGGATGCAGGACAGCAAGAAGCTCTTGCTGTAATTTCTTAGACAGCAGTTATAAAACTCCCAAAGAGGAGGTATTTAGTGGAAGGGGCCTTTTGGAAGGCACGGTTAGGGTGAAGTGATTTTAGTAAACCTGAAATTAAATTTCAAGTTGACCATGAGAGGTTAAAGTTTGAATTTTGAAATGAGAGAGAAATTAATGGGCATTTAAGGGCCCATCAAGAAGGGGACTGGCGGTTTCATTAGAGGAGGGGAAGGGATTTATTTCAAAACCTGAAATTAATTTCAGGTTTTGAAATAAATCCCTTCCCCTCCTCTAATGAAACCGCCAGTCCCCTTCTTGATGGGCCCTTAAATGCCCATTAATTTCTCTCTCATTTCAAAATTCAAACTTTAACCTCTCATGGTCAACTTGAAATTTAATTTCAGGTTTACTAAAATCACTTCACCCTAACCGTGCCTTCCAAAAGGCCCCTTCCACTAAATACCTCCTCTTTGGGAGTTTTATAACTGCTGTCTAAGAAATTACAGCAAGAGCTTCTTGCTGTCCTGCATCCCCAATACCTTTCTGCTGCCCAAAATACTTCTCCAACGTGGCCAAGGGGCTGCTATCCAAGGAGCAAATTGCTGTCCTGAAATTATGGACTGTTTTTGGTGACTGTCTTGCCACCCGGAGGCCTTCGTGTGCTGCCCAAGAGCTTCATTTCGTGGACCGTCATCGGCTATCCGTCCGTGTCTCCTCCACCACCGTCGATCTTTCCGTGGCTCAAGACCATCGGCGTTGCAACCTTCCTCATGGCATCGTTTGGGTGTGCTGAAATCTTCTCCCGCTAAGCCTAGTTTAGTTGAGTGGTTAATCCCCAAGGTGAACTTCTCGTTATTAAATTACGGATTGTTGTTTAATAGCTTTTTGTGTTGCTACGATCGTTGTTTATCCATAAGTTTTGGTCAATCTACGCATACTTCTTCGCCTAAGCTAGTTAATAACACGATTTCTTTAATGATTTTCTTGCTATCTCAATGAGATATTAATTGAAATTACGTTGTCATTCACTTTTAATTTTCTTAAGAAGCTCCTTGCATGTGGTATCACATCAATATGTCATCTACATAAGTTAATATGTATACATGGAAGTCATTTTGTGAGAATATCATAAGGGACGGATCGGCTTTGCTCGGCTGAAATCCAAGTTTTTGTAAGTAAGTTGAGAATGTGTTAAACCATTGTCTTGATGCTTGTTTTAGCCCATATATTGCTTTATGAAGCCGACAAACATGTTCCGGACTTTCTTTGTCTTCATATCCTAACGGTTGTCTCATATATATTGTGTCTGTCAATTTTCCATGTAGGAAGGCATTAGTCACATCAAGTTATTGTACCTCCCATTTTTTATTAAATGCAATAGTGAGGAGCATTCTCATTGTTGGGAATTTTGCTACTGGACTGAATGTTTCCAAATAGTTTATTCCATATTGTTGCCGGTTGCCCTGAGCCACCAGTCTTGCCTAGTACTTTGCAACAGAACCATCTGAATGGAATTTTGTTTTGTAAGTCCATTTACATCCCAATATTGGAGTATTTGGTGGTAGTGGTACTAGCGACCATGTTTGTTGTTGCTGGAGTGCCATAAACTCAGTCTCCATAGCTTGTCTCCAATGTGAATGTTTTGCTGCTTCTTTGTATGTGATTGGATCTTGGTTTGGAGAGTTTTGATGTAACAGGTTGATGATGATTTTGGGTTTGAGTGATCCCGTTTTGAATCTTGTGATCATTGGGGGTGTGTGTATTGGTGGTGGTATGGGTGTTTGTGTTGTGGAGTTAATTGGTTGGGATATATGTTGTGTGAGCTGGGTTGTAGAATGTGTTGACTGAGGTGTAGTTTGTGCTGGTTGAGGTGTTGTTGATGGTGGGATGACAATCTGGGATGTATTTGTAGAGTACTGTGTTGTGGGTGTGAGAAGGTAAGGATTATTGGGAACATTGGAGGTGACTGATGTGGGGTTAGTCAGAGAAATTTTGGTAAACAGGAATATGTCTTCGTGAAATGTGACATGTCTTGAGATGGTTATTTGGTTTGTATGAGGATTCAGACATTTGTATCCTTTATGGGATGATGAGTATCCCAAAAAAATACGTGATGTGGCTCTGGGAGCTAGTTTGTGACGATTTTGTGGTGATATCCATGGGAAACATTCACATTCAAATGTTCTTAATATAGAGTAGTCTGGGTATAGCAGCTGGTATGGAGATTTGTTGTGGGTGTTCTGAGATGCAATTATGTTGATCAAGTATGATGTCGTGAGAACTGCATTAGGCCAGTATATGTATATAACTGATGCCGTATTGATCAATTCTCTTGTTGTTTCTATCAGATGTCTATGTTTCCTCTCCGCTGTGCCATTCTGTTTAGGCGTACATGGGCATGAGATCTGATGTATGATGCCTTGCTTTTGTAGATAATTTTGTAGTGTTCTGTTTACATACGCTGATCCTCCATCAGATCTAAATTGTTTCACTTTGTGAAGTATTTATTTTTCTATAATTGTATGAAACATGATGAATGTTTCTGCCACCTTAGATTTTGATTTTATGGGAAAGACCCATGTGAACCGAGAATGATCATCTATTAAAAGAAGGTAATATCGATATCATTGATATGATGCAATTGGGGCAGGATCACATACATCTGAATGTAGTAGTTCTAAAGGAACATGCGAACGGGAAGTATAAACAGGAAATTGTAGCCTGTGGCTTTTAGCCATTTTACAGGCTATACAAGTATTGGGAGGTTTTGACATTTTGAGTGTGTGGTTGGTATTGGATATGATGGTCATGGTTCTGATGTTGGGGTGTCCAAGTCTGTTATGCCATGTAGCAGGGGGTTGATGAATGGCTGTAAGTGTTGGTCTGAGCTTGGATGATGTGGTGGATATCGAGTAGAGTCTATTACGACTTGGACCCTGAAGCAGAATTTGATTTGTCTTGATATCCTTGACAATAAAGCCAAATTCATCAAATGTGATGGCAATGTTGTGTCTTTGGTTAAGTGGTGAATTGAAAAAAGTTTATGGGAAAGTTGGGGAATATGAAGTAGCTGAGATAGTAGCAACTTACGATTGGGGGTTGGTAATAGGCCTGCGCCGGTATGAGCAATAGGAATTGTACTGCCATCACCAATTTGTATATTGTCTGCACCATTGTATGGTATGGGATCTCCTAATGTGAGATTGTTGATATCATTTGTCAGGTGAGCTGTTGCACCGGAGTCCAGATACCAATCAGAATTTTGGTTTTCATTCGTGGCAATGAGAGCTGTGTTGCTTTTTGGTGGTGGGGGAACATAATTGTTGTTGTATCTATGCCAACAGTTGTTAGCTGAATGACCCTTCTTGTTGCATATTTGGCATTGCTGTATGGGTTGATTATTGGTTCTGGTGTTCTAGTAGTTGTGTCTACCTCTTCCTCTTCTTCCTCTTCCTCTATTTGTATATAATGCTATATTATGATCTGGAAAACTGAGTTGCCTTGCTGCTTTTGCGTTGAGATTAATCTCTTCACTAATTAAAAAGGCATATAAGTCATCAAGACTTATTGGTTGTACCATAGTACGTATGGTGCTTTTGAATGATTGGTAAGCTGAAGGTAAACCATTCAATGTGTATAGAATTACATCTTCTTTATCGATTGTAGCTCCTGCTACTGCAATTTTGTCCACCAGTGTCTTGACCTCATTCAGATATTCTGCCATGGTTTGTTGTTTCATCGAAACATTGTGTAATTCATTATTAAGTTGAATTACTCTTGATCTGTTAGATGCCTGTTATCTTCTTTCAATTGTGTTCCATATTGCAGCCGATGAATCAAGATGAAGTACATATGGGAGAATGGCTGTAGAAATTGTTGAACAAAGCGCAGCTGCTAGGTTTTGATCTATCAAAACCCATTCAGTGTACTTCGAATTGATCATGGATGATCCATCATTCGTCTGCTATAGACGATTTCGTGGTGTGAAGCTCGGATCCACAAAATTGTAAAATCCATTTGCTCTTAACAACTTTGTGATTTGAGATTTCCATATGGGATAATTATCATTCGATAATTGTGTAGGAATAATGTTCTTGATATTTGAAATGAAAATTTTCAAAGTTGCAGGTATGTTGCAGGCATCTGTGTTTGTGTCGGATGATGAATTTGCGGTTTGGGAAGAAGAATATTGTGCCATGAGAAATGCTTACTTGAGTGACAATGAAGAATCTGGGCTTTATGCAGGAATGAGGAATCGGTGCTCTGATACCATAAAGAAGAGGGAAAATGAAGTTTAAAGGAGGCTAACTGTTATTATTTCCTTGTATTGATATCAATCGTATTACAAGTATTTATACTTGTTACATGTATGAAATATGTGGCTGATAATAAATCTCAATCATGTGGCTGGCATTCATTTCTTGTTTTGCTGACGTGTTCTGTTCTATTTGATTGCATCCCTATTTGTTATATGACGGCTATACTCGTTCTCTCCTTTTTAAGAACTCATCTTCTGTCTTAAGATAAGACTATCAAAATCCAAAAAATCAAGATATAAATTAACGTATTGCATCATAAATAAGAACTCTTAACCTTACAGATTGAAAACTTTGCTACTTGATGAAATTTATTCTCAGAAGATAAATTATTTAAGCAAAATGCATGCACGCATTGTGTAGATAAAACAATAATTAGTGTGACGTATATAAGAAAATTGGTTTAGTTTTGTACTATGGTCTGTAAAGATTGCAATATTATTTAGAAGGAGCCACTGCGATTGTATCACTGAAAAATCTTTTAAACATCAAGATGGCTTCACATAAACGATCTAAATTGCAGCAATTTAAGAATGCCAAAAAATCAAACAAGCTAAATTTATAAATAATATAACGTATAAATAAATTGTTAATAAACCAATTATATTCCGTTGTAAAGTTTGACTGCTTACTTCAATGTGTATTTGAGAGTCAAAAGGTCCATCATGAACTTGGAGGTTAGGAATCAAATGTTTGATTGCATCTGCACGCTGGAGATACTCTAAACAATTTGGATCACCAGAAAGATGATTGACGCATTTAAGCATCTGAAATTCGGAAGCAGAAAAAGGGAAGTTACAAGACATCAGTTGTAAATAACAAGCAACTGCTAGCTTATCACGATTCACACTCACCTTCAGAAGAATAGGAGGCTCTATCTTGTTGAACATTTGGAAAAGCCGAGTAAGCAAGCTTTGACTACACATGTAGGATTTTACAGAAGAATCAGCTTGGGCAAATTCTAATAAAAGATCTGCAACCTTTTCAAGATACTCTCGTGCCACATCAGCATTCAGGGATGATACCATTTGTGAAAGTAATCCGGAGGATGTTGAGCTCCCTGGCCTTGCATTCAGAACACCAGAGCCAGATAATACTCCTGATGTAGTCCTAGAAGCAACACCAGACGTTGAAGCACCTTCATTTGAAGCATTTGAGCCCATGGATTGCGGTAAAACCTTCCTATTTACTCTCTTGGATGGTTTTCCATTGGAATCTGCATGTTCCTTTTCTTTCCCTTGTCTAGAGACCTCTACGGTTTAGCACAAAAGAAGGTAACTACCAGAACGTTAAATGAATACAAAATTATATCCGATTACATAATAGAAGTTTGTATGTTGTCAATGTGATGCAGCAATAAAATCTAGATTTAAGAAAAACAAAATAGTGAACATGGAAAATGAGTATAAATATGCATATATAAATAATGATAATTTCTCCTCGAGGAGATATTTATTCCCTCCAAATTTAATTTATATTTCTTTTTGTTTAAAATCACATCATTTATATTAAAAATCTTTAACAATCAATATCATGTAAATTATTAATGGTTTGAGCTTTATCATTTTTTATAATAATTTAAACATGAATAATCAGAAAACATATATAGACAATAATCCTAATTTTATTAATTTATTTCACCAATTAAAATTATTAAATAAAATATAATTATCATCATTAACCAATATAATTAATTATATGCCATTTGAAAGGTACTATATATTGACAATCATAATAATCATTTGAATCAAAATTATTAAATAAAAACTAATAATCATCTTTAAACCAATTTAATTAAATAGAAGTAATTTGAAAGAGTCTATACACTCATAATCATTTGAAGCAATCAAAATCATCCATAAATTTTTTTTTTGACTAAGTCATTCCAAAAATTTAATTTAGAACTCATATCCAAACCTACTTGAGGAGCATAAGCACTTATAATATTAACAATCTTATCATCAACAACAATCTTTAACGCTAAAATTCTATCTCCAATCCTATTAATTTTTATAACATTATCCTTTAAACTCTTATGTATAATAACACCTACACCATTTCTAGTACGACTCTTACCCGAATACTAAAGTTTAATGATCCAATGATCTATTTTTTTTGAAATTATATATATCATTAATTTTAATGATGTTAAAGATAATGAATAATTTTGACCTTACAATTAAAGATCACCACACAAATAGGAGTCTACCCTCCTAGGAGGACAAATCAAGCATTTGTTTTGCTCATTGCTCATTGCTCATTGCTCATTATTTTGTTCTCTGCTCGCTCCTAAACTAAAAGGTCCATAAAGATTTCAAGTTGGTTAAGTTTTTTGTGATTGCATAGTAAAAAGCATTGCATCATCACTCAGCCAGTGACCATTACACCTATTCCTTTAGCCTATCCCGAGCTACCAATCTAAGTAAGCTCAGTAAAAAACATTCATCCATAGAAGAATCTTCTTCTTTAAAGATGGCAGAGATTTTGGGCTTGAGAATGTTTTAAGGATTAGGGACTGGGAATGGATTTATGATTAGGGTTTTAGAGTTATAATGATCGAAGGATAAAGAATGTTTTCATTTAACCTTTTCTAGAGAGAGAGCTAGGAAGACAAGAAGGTATCTTCTTTTGCGGTATAAGGCAACGCCAATTAGAGGGGATAGGCTAATCAAACAAGAGATAAATGCAACTAGAGAAATATTGCTACAGAGAGAAAATAGGAATCAATATATAGAAAAGGGTGGTTGGATTTCTTTAAGTTCTTGTAATATATGATAGAGAGAGGACTCAGGTTTGAATCTATTCCGGGAGAGAGATTGAGAGAGAAGAAAGAGAGAAATTGAGGAGAGAACTACGAGAGAGAAATTGAGGAGAGAACTACGAGAGAGAGAGAGAGAATTGATGCGTTGGTAAAAATTTTAACTAAGTTTATTACAATGAGAAAAGAGGTTTATTTGCACGTAAGAGGTGTGGAAAGGAATGTTTCTAAAAGGACAGATACTAGATACGACATAAGAAAGAAAAGATGGGGTATTAAGGAGAGAGAAAATGAAGAATATTACAGAGAAGTAGCGGAACAAAACATCTTGCACGATCATAAACCTTTTAAATGCTATATAAATGAATGACAAACAGAAGCAGATTTGTTATTCTTTCATTTAAAATGAATATTATGTAGCAATGGCTGTTTAGATATGGCTGCAAACAAGTCAAGTGTTCGGCAAGCTACTTGTAACTCATCTCACCTGTAGCACGTTTATGATCACATTTGATTTAATAATCAAATAAGCTTGAATATTTTTTAAAATACCCAATTGTTAAATAAACATGTTTAAACACTTATTTGTTCGACTCATATATGTTCATGAACAATCTCTTTTGAAGCTCCTGAACAAGCTCATTTAAAAACTTGCTTGATGTTCGATATGTAGCTCAATTAAGTATTGTTATAACTTGTGAAAATGATTAACAACTTAAGTTGAATGCTTTATTTCTATTATAATTTGATAACATACAACAACAAGAACAACATCAAGCCTTTATCCCACTATATGGGGTCGGCTACATGAATCTTTTCTCTCCATTGTGTCTTGCTAATAGTAAAATTTTCATTTAAATATAATAAAAAAAATATTATTTCTAATATTTTTTAATCAAGTTTTTTTTAGGTCTACATCTTCCTTTCTTAATATTCAAATCTAATTCATCTACTCTCCTATACGGGTTATCGGAAAGCTAACATTTTATGTGAACAAACCATCTAAGACAACTCTCTCTAATCTTAGTTGCAACTGGAGCTACTCCAACCTTTCACGTATATGCTCGTTTCGTATTCTGCCTCCAAGAGTAAAGCCACTTATTCACTTGAGCATTCTCATCTCTGCATATGCTTCTCTTTTATGGCCAACATTTTGCGCCATAAACCACCATCTTACAGAATTTTCTTGTGAGTTTGAGGGGTACTTTTCTATCACACAGCATGCCCGATGCATTACTCCACTTCAACCATCCAACTTGAATTCTACTAATAATATGCCCATCTATTTCACTATCACTCTTAACAATAGACCCGAGATATCTAAAACAAGTACTCTTATTAATGACTTAATCATCCAAAGTCAAAATCCCCCCACTAGATCTATTACTACTAAATTTACACTCACTGTATTCGATTTAGATCATACTCAAATGAAAACCTTTAGATATCTAAGGTTGATCTTCATAATTTAAGTTTACCTTCAACTCACTCTCTAGTATTATCTATAATTTAATAACATAATTAATCATTAATTAATAAATTTTAAAACTAATTCAATAGAGAAAATGACAAAAATGATCCCTCAACTCTTTAGGAAAGACCAAAATAATCCTCACCTATCTTGAGGGACCATTTTGGTCCCTCAACTCTTTAAAATGGAATCATTTTGGTCCCAACATCTAAAATAATGGATGTTAGACTAATGGTGTTAAAATTAGGGGTATTTTTAAATAATTATATTTTTTCAAAATAAATTTAGTAATCATTTGTTTAATAAGAAAAACTAATAGTATTTTTAATTATAATTTTAAAATTTTAATCATATTTTATAAATTATGATTATTACTTTTTATAATATTTTAATATCTATTATAATATTAGAGTTAAAAAACCTCTTGTCCAACTCTCCTCACCCTCTTGTCTCTTGTGTCTTTTTCCCTCAATATGTTGCCTCGGAGCTTCTCGCATCTTTCTCCCCCAATAAGCTACCCCAAATCCTTCGAAACCCTTGTGTCTCCTCATTTTTCTTTCTATATTAGTTGTTGCTAGAAATTTGAGAAGGCATTGACGAGTATCATCGAAAACCAATAACTTACCCATTTGTGAACAGGTTCTATTATTGAAACCCTTCTTTCGTCGTTCAACATGCCGCCTCCCTGTATGCCTAAAATTTTTGATAGATTCAGTATCGATGGGTTAATCGTGTGCATTTGGTTCTTTTTAAAAGGAAACTGAAAATTATTAAAGGAGACATACAAATATATTTTTAATATAAGGAAGTGATTGGGATAAAACTAATGATGATGGCATACAAACATATTGTATCAAGTAGGTTCAGTGATTTTTATTTTGGTTGGGTTTTAGAATATGCTATATATAAAGTATATCTAGAAAAAAATTAGCTAACATCTTTATTGATATATTTTCACATAATTTTTAGTTTTGTTATGATAAATTATTTTCACGTAATGAACATCTAAAAAGTAAAGTGATAGGAAACACTAGTTTTCAAGTGAAACTTATCAATCTTGAAAAATCAGCAAGAAATCTCCACAAAACTCCAAGTAAAACCAGAAAACAGTAGATGTTTTTGCATTATTTAATGAAAGGAGCAAGAAAATACCAAGATACAAGCGATCCTCTATTCGAGAGGAGAATAATCTCTTCAAAACTCTCTAGACACCACTAGAGCCCAGGAACACTAAAAGCACTAAAAATTAGCCACCAAAAATATGCCCTAATCCTAATACAAACTTCTACTTAAAACAAACAACAACAACAACGTGGGGTCGGCTACATGAATCATTTTTCTCTATTGTGTCCTGTTAAAAGTCAAATTCTCGTTTAAATCTAATAAAGAAAGATAATTTCTAATACTTTCTAACCAAGTCTTTTTAGGTCTACCTCTACCTTTCTTAACATAAGTCAAATCTAATACCTCTATTTTCCTAACCGAGTCATCGGAAGGTCGCCGTTTTATGTGATCAAACCATCTAAGGCGAATCTCTCTAATCTTATCTTCCACTGGAGCTACTCCAACCTTTTCACGTATATGCTCATTTCGTATCCTATCTCTAAGGGTAAAGCCACTCATCCACCTGAGCATCCTCATCTCTGCAACACTCAACTTACTATTATGCTTCTCTTTTAATGGCCAACATTCAGCACCATAAAGCATTGCAAGTCTCACCACCATCTTATAGAATTTTCCCTTAAGTTTGAGGAGGACTTTTCTATCATATAACAAGCTCGATGCATTCCTCCATTTTAACCATCCAACTTCAATTTTACTGATAATATCCCCATCTATTTCACCATCATTCTGAACAATAGATCCAAGATATCTAAAACAGGTACTCTTATTAATGACTTGATTGCCCAAAGTCACAATCCCCTCACTAGGTCTATTACTACTAAAATTACACTCAATTTATTCAGTTTTAGATCTACTCAAGTGAAAACATTTAGACTCTAAGGTTGACCTCCATAATTCAAGTTTACCTTCAACTCCATCCATAGTCTTATCAACAAGAAGATTATCATCAACAAAAAGCATACACCAAGGTACATCCTCTTGCAAATGTCTAGTGAGAACATCTATGACTAAAGCAAAAAGATATGGGCTTAAAGTTGATCCTTGATGTAATCCAACCAAAATAGATAAATACTTGGTCAAACCATCTTGTGTTTGAACACAAGTAATAGCTCCTGCATACATATCTTTAATGATTTGAATATAAACATTATTAACTCCTTTCTTTTCAAGAACTCTCCATAGCACTTCTCTTGAAACTTTATCATATGATTTCTCTAAATCAATAAATATCATATGTAGATCCTTCTTATTCTCTCTATATTTCTCCATCAAACCTCTCAATAAATGTATGGCTTCCATAGTAGACTCATTGGCATGAATCTAAATTGATTTTGAGAAATATTAGTATTACGCCGCAAACTATGCTCTATAACTCGTTCCCATAGTTTTAAAGTATGACACATTAATTCCATTAGGTAGTGGACCCCACCCCAAGGGGGACGGGAATTGCAGCTTGCGGCTCAGCAGGCATGAGCCGGCCCAAGGGTTAGTTCGGCTGGACCAGTCATAAAGCTCGTTAATAGTTCGATAAAACTCATTTATTTAATTAATCAACACGAAATGAGCCGAAAAAAAGTCAAACATAAGCACTATCATTTTAAATGAAACAAGTTAATAAAAAACACTTTATTATGACCATTTAATTTCATATCATAAATCTTTTGGTGATCTAATTGCGTTATGGAGATTATTGAATATTGTAATGACAAAATGATTTTTCCACTTCATAATTTAAGGTGTTTATTAGTTGTTAGATATGGCACGAGTGAATTAAAACATGCACTTTGTTACTAGTTTGCAATTCGAAGTAGAAAAAACCCATTGTGTTATGAGTTGAACCTTGTGAATTGAAAACAAACCTACCATTATGGTTGTCAAACTAATCTACCATACTAGTAGGAAAGAATATTACTTACCGGCAAATTCTGCCATCAGATGATCAAGTTCTCCATTAGTTTTCCTTTCCGTTGAAGCATGAAGAAGGGGTAACAGGCTTTCATGCTTTTCTAGTGCAGGAAATTGGCTCACATAATCAAGTTTCCCTGAGACATTTCGAGAAGGTGGTTCTTTGTCTAATATGCTCAGCAGTGGGCGTATATGTTCCCTTTGAGAAGTCAATAAGTTTCCAGCAGTAAGACTTCCATTTGATGCATTTTCTACATGCCTTAAAAACAGATCTGCAGAAGTTCTGCTTGAAGAATTAATCGTACTTAGCTGTCTAAGCAGGTCAACTTCCAATTGAGAAACATCAGGCTTCCGCAAGCCCAAATTTTCATGCTCCTCTAAAGCTGCAGCTGATGATGCTGTGTCAGTGTGTGTGTTTTCCTTGGAATATAACAGAAGCATCTGGTGAATGATTCTTACCTGCATCTCTAGCAAAGTTCTTTGTGTCTAACAAAGTTGCATCAGGTCCAGAAGTAGCAGATGTGTGCAATGATTCCAATGCTCCAACTGACTCTGGATTATCCAATGGGCCAGATCTAGGTCTTGCAGCTGTACTACTTTGCATGGATGCCAAACGTGCCGCCTCATTCAAGTTGTGAAGGGTGTTAACAAGCCTAAGAAGAATTCCATTTTTGGCAGCTATACGACAAAAGTCATTTCTTGGAGTGGAATGCTGGAGCTTAAATACTTGCCATATGCCATCTATTGCAAGATGAACCATTTCCCTGGCGACTCAGAAAGATGCGTTGCGTTTAATGTCTATATATACATAAGCTCAAGCATGTACAAAATTTAATTTTCGATATTGACGTACATAGCCAGAGCAGCACACTTATGACAAATTGAATTAAAACGCATACCTATATTTTGCATAGTCAGCCTCAAGAAAACCCACAAGTACAGGGATACACCGACAGGCAATAAACATTTGCAATGTCAATGAACTGAAAGAAGGGAGAATTTGAACCTGAGTACATTGAAGAATTTTCTATAGGGAAGGAAATAAAATGATATTAATGTCTGTAAACTCTAAACCTGGAATAGCAAAGCTGCTGAAAAAAGAAAGCTGCTTGCATACGAACTTCTCGAGGGCGATCAGGTACTGCAAAGTTCATTACCACTGGGATCTGCAATTGGAGTTCAAATCCAACATCACAAAACTTCCCAAGAAATCCAACATTAAACTACGAGCACAAAGAAGTCGGTAATCTCACAAGTCCCACAAGACAAGCATTTTCTTGGAAACCAACATTATCCATGACAATCTGGTTAATAATCTGAAGCACAGAACATATGACCTGCATAAATATCACCACATTATCACAAGTAGCCATCAAAGAATTTCAAAATATATGCGCAAAAAAGCACAGTAACTCTAACTATTTGAACAGCTGAGCCCGCTTAGCCCAAAAGGAAAATGAAGACTGTAACCGTATATTATAGATACCCTAGACAACTTCCAAAAAATCCTAGTTATCAAAAGAAAAAAACTGCATACTCGGTTTCTTGGAATTTCAAGAAGATCCATAAGAGGAAGAAATCCATGCTGGGACATGAAAACATGTTTTTGCTCCGGCCGTTGAACAAAAAATGACAGAAGCTTTTGGCATGCGGACAAAATTACATCATCTGGTTCTTCTGGCTTCAGTAATCCAACTAATTTGCTAAACTCGACAGACTGAAGCAAGACGAGAAAAAAAATCTCATGATAAAGAAAAGATGGTAATCACATCCAATAAAGCTAAATTCCTGCATTTAGCTTACGAACATTCGTGTATATAAAAATAGCTGTAAGTACCAAAATTTCAGGATAAAGTAAAAAAGATATATACAACAACAACAACATCAAGCCTTTGTCCCACTACGTGGGGTCGGCTACATGAATCCTTCTTCTCCATTGTGTCATGTTAAAAATCAAATTCTCGTTTAAATCTAATAAAAAAAAAAGGTCATTTCTAATATTTTTTAACCAAGTCTTTTTAAGTCTGCCTCTACCTTTCTTAACATAAGTCAAATCTAAGACCTCTACTTTCCTAACCATCTAAGGCGACTCTCTCTAATCTTATCTTCCACTGGCGCTACACCAATCTTTTCATGTATATGCTCATTTTATATTCTATCTCAAAGGGTAAAGCCACTCATCCACCGGAGCATCCTCATCTCTGAAACATTTAACTTAGCATTATGCTTCTCTTTTAATGGCCAACATTCAGCACCATAAAGCATTGCAGGTCTCACCACCATCTTATAGAATTTTCCTATAAGTTTGAGGGGGACTTTTCTATCTCACAACAAACACGATGCATTCACAGTCACGAAGATATAAGTGAAAAAAAAAGGCTGCAATCAACAATCTCCACGGAATGCTAATTTGGCAGCTTCCATCTAATAAAAATTTAAAGACCAGATTCGTGTTTTACCTTTCATTTTTATTCCTTAATACCATTTTAAACCTTCCATTCTGCAGATCATTTAGAGATAGCAAGTCAAATGACCGGAGACATAGGGGACTAAAAATAAGTAAAATGATTAGGGATGTATTTAGTATAAATATTTAAGAACAAAGACTATGTTAAATATCATGCTAATTCTAGATAAATAAAATTTATGAGCATACAATAACTTTTTTAAATGCAATATTAGAGGAAGATAATGATATGAGTACATCAAAGAAAATAACAAAAAATTGACAGGTGCAAGGAAAAAAAAAGAAAGAAAAAGTAAGTAAGGTATGAAGCCAAATGAAATAGAATGCGAAAAACAATGAAGAAAAACAAATTACTCATTTTGGCCAACTTGCTTGGAGCTTTCTGAAGACGAGAATGAAAATCCTTAAATTATGGCGCCATCTGGTAAATAGGATTTCAAATATCCTATTTGTCATAATATCTTCACTCATTATGCTTCTATCAAAATCCTTGGATGCAAAACATCATGGTCAACATTGTCTTCACTAATAGGTGGGAGCAAGGGAACTTCTATGTCTCATTTACTGAAGATGCTAAGCCATTTCAGTAGCGTAGTAGGGCTGAGCATAACAGTCTCAGTATCCAAAGGAAATTCAACTGATTCTAAAAATTAAGAGCAAATCTGAACTGATAACGAAAGAGCTGTAAATATTATCGAATTGTGAAGGGTCCGGACATTCAAATGTTCCTATAGCACCAGAGTATTTGATTTCCTTAGATCTGAATGTGGCTTGAAACACACAAAGAATTTACGTCCAAAGATTTTACAGGAAGAATAATATGGAGATGCCTTCAAAAACTACCTTCAGCTAATAACAAAAAGACTCAATCCAATCCATACCTAATTTTCCAACAGCAAAGTAACTTCCATTTTAACCAAAACTTTGGCTACAGAAGGCCTTAAAAGATGAGCAATAGTAGCATCCAATTGAAAATAGATTATTAATAATGTCATCCATAGAGTACGAGATTGGACAAGGCATTAAGTAATGTTAAGAAAGTAAAGAGCAAAAGAAAAATGGGGCACAAACTATTTTTTACATAGTTCAAAAATAACACCTACGTCCACCAATTGAGTCCTCCAACTCAAGAATTCACTAATATCTCTTTCGGTGGCCATCTGGAGGAGAAAACCCCTCTCTTTGACTAATAATGAAGAAACCCTACACCCTCTTCTTCCTTCCACTCCAAGCGAGAAGATCGTCACTTTAGCCCACTAGAACCAACTTACAATCGAAGGCTTCAAGATCTCACTGATCTCTTACAAATCAATCAAATAACTGCTCTCAACACTCAACAAAAATAATAAGAAAAATAATGTATAAGAGAAGTGAAAATAACCAACTAAAAGAAAGTGTCTTGTAAGAGATTTTGTGTTTTTCATTTGAAAACCTTGAGTGTGAAAATCCCTTGTGAACTTGTGTTTGCCAAATATGGAAGCCAAGGAGTATTAATAGAGAGTAAGACTAGAGAAAAGCAGAGCCTAGTTTGATATGCAGTTGAAGATAACCTTATAGTGACATGACGAGGATCAATAAACCCAACTAAACAGTTACCAACTAAGTTAAACATGAATTTACAAATGACATTGACGTTTGGACATCCCAATGAAAATTTGCTAAAAATGAGCAAACAAAGCGAATGAACCAACTTGGATATCTCGCCCTCAAAAAAATAAGCGGAGCTTGCCTGGAAATGACGAAGGTTGATTATGATTTGATGGGTATAGTCTTGATTATAGTAAAGAGAAACATGGACATAATTATAGGATGCAATCCCATGCTCAAATAATCACCCACAAATTTTACAAAGGAATAAAAATTACGAGCGATGGGTCGAATGAAACATGAGTAGTTGAACGAGCCTCTAAGATCAAAACTACCGACATAAGTGGCAATGATGGTGGTGAATTATAGGAACCACGTGTAGAAGAATCTAAAGGAGGTGGCTATGGTTGAATGGGGATTGATGAGAGGGAGCCAACGAGGGCAGCACAAAAAGTCAGGAAAGATCGAGAGCGGGGCTACATCATATAGTCTTGATTATAGTAAAAACCCATTAGATGAACTGATGATATTAATATTAGAAGATTAAGAAAAGGGACATACATCATAAAAGGCTACATAGATAGAAGTTGTTCATAATGATTTGCGACATATAGGTTTAACACCTCAAATAATGCTCAATATAAAGGAATGAATAATGGGGATATACAACATAGACCCAAATAGTTGGGATAACACACATGATGATGATGATGATGATTTATAGATAGTATGTCAGAGCAAATTAACAACAAAAATCATAGATAGTGTATATTACTTTGCAAGCTCCTAGAACTAGTATAATTTAGCATGAGATTAAAAATTAAAAATAGATCATTTGATAACTAGTATAGTTAGAACAAGACTATCCACATTAGAAGTAGAGATATTGACAAAGATTGGAGAGAATTTGAAGTGTGCTTCATTCCATCATTTATACTAAACTTATGAAAGTATACGAGAACCGGTAGAAAATATATATAAATTTTAAGGTCTGAAATATAGAAATTGACTACAGAAGGAAATGAAAGTGAATGGATGATAGATTGGCAGGAGGCATTGAGGTTGGCATAGGCAAGCTGGGGCAATCAAAAAGCTAAGAAACAATTGGGTTGGAAGACAAGCGGGCAAACAATTACGACAAACAATTGGCTAGCTTGGCAAACAAAAGGGTGAAATCTAGGGGCATCATTTCAGGCTTGCTATTTTCAGTATTCCCTCTCAAGTGAATAATGTATGTGATGAGGTTCTTGCTTTTCATCTCAACCCTCTTGTGATTGTTTCTCTTTGCTTTTGGTGGAGAAATTCCTCATTCTTGGGGGAAATTAGGGCAAAACCGAAATTGTGGAACCCTAGGGCATATCAGTATGTCATCCACTCCTTTAAAACTTTTTGAAAGATGGCATCTGATAATTCTTTAGTGACAATATCCACAAGTTGTTCACTTTCGATAATGAACAGAGTACAAACTCAACTGCTAGCTAGCTTTTCTTTTATAAAATGTTTTTTAGCTTCAATATGCTTAGTATGGTCATGTGACATTGAGTTATCTCGAATATTGATTGTTGACTTGTTATCGAAATAAGAGTCTAATAGGATCCTTCCATTCAATTTTTAAATCTTTCAAGAAATTTTAAGCCATGGAAATTTGCAGATTCTCAATGTCAGATCAAAATTCAAATTATACATTAAAACTTACTAAAACATTTTATTTTTTTACTTCCATAATTCACGAGGTTCCAATAAAATGTGCAATATCATGAAGTTGACCACCTATGAATCATACTTTCTACATAATCAACATGTGTAGGATTCAAGTGTCAGATCATCCCTTCTTTATATAAAATTCTTTTATTTGAAGTTACTTTATAATATTATAAAAGTTGTTGCACTGCCTCAGGATGTGGTCTTTAGAATTATGTATGAATTAATTTATCATGCCAGTAAGATAGGCAATACTAGGTCTATTATGAGATAAGTAGATAAGTTTTCCAACATTTTTTTTTTTTTTGGAAAATTAAGGGCTTAGCCCAAATTCCATTAAATAAAAAAACTAGTTACATGCGTAAAAAGAAAACAGCAAAAAATTGAGGAGCCCTCAACAGAGTGATGCGGGCAAAAACTATAGGCTCCCTATATTTCTTGCTCAACAAAAATAGACGACGGACTTCTACCGACGAAATTGAAAAAGAGACGAGAAAAACGACGAACAAACTCTTATATTTCAAATTAAAGAAATAAAAAGTACGCCGGGTGACAGGTTCAGTTTTAGTAGTTTTACTTGTTGTACTTATATATTTTTTTTGATGGCTTATCCTAGCATGTTTAGATTGAAGTTAGCCATCTTGTATATTTTGAAAACTCTTTTGGAATGAAATTAGAAAAGATTTAGAGGCGCTTTTTGTCTTTGATGAGTTCAATGAATAGTTTTATTTTTGTTAAGAAGAATGATTAGATAATTTTATTACATGTCCGATCTCGTTCCCGCCTCGTATCTACGAGCTAACCGGGCCGGGTCGTGACAAACGTCACAGTAAAGCACAAGGAAAGCCACAGAATCAGCAGGTAAGCACAGGAATCCAGGAGGTATTTCACGGGTCAGCAGTTACACATTTCACGGGAGAAAAGGAGGAAAGCTGCAGCAGTTCAAGAGGCAATCAAGAAGA